TGAAGACATTGACATAGTAGTACACATACATAGATATCAAATGAACTTATATTTTGTTGTATATCCAACTCCAAAGTAGAATGACTATGTAGTTTATAAGACAGAAAGAAAACTCAGTACTTTAAACATTAATTAGTTTTACGAAAGAAAACACATTATTTTTTTATCCATGGAAGCGCGAGTGCCGGTGGTTTTATTCGATTTTTTTCAAAATAAATCCCATCAATTTTGGCAATCCATGTACGTATATGAGCACATCGACGAAGATTGGCTCTCTGTATGCTTTAAATTTTCGAAAATAACTCATCCACAACCCTTGCTCCAATTCACATTGCCATAATGTCCTCGAGGTTACACTTTCCCCGAATCTAATAAATTTAGTATTACCGAATTCTAAATACCCCATGACTACATCTTTGTCTCTAGAATAGCAACGATATTTGAGAATTCTACCAGGACCAAGTTGGTTTTGAATCTCTATTGTGTTTTTTGGGCAACCCCAATATATTTTTGCTTCATTTAATCCAAAGTACATAGCAATAACTAGCATATAAACTACAAGACTATTCATGTTTTGGATTTTTTATCGGTTATTGGAGTTGCATGAATATAATACCACCAAAATGTGGTATTTATAAATAAAAAAAAGTTGTGGTAAACTATTTTTTTGTTTATCCAGTAATTAAATAGCTTGTCACGGCCATTATTAGCTATGTTTAAAAATAAACATGAGTCAACTAATTTATAGCCATAAAAGAATTTACTGTAAAAAATTATGGTTGACCAATAAGATCAAACCAACCGAATTAACTTGATAAATTATAGCTGATCACGAACACCAAATAAAACCAAAAGTCTAAATTTGTGAATGTATTATTTTAGTGATGTTCAAAAACATTTACCATGCAGGATGAACAACAGTGACATAAATGCACGTATTCTGAAAAGAATTAGCTCTTCCAAAACGTAGAATTAGACTGGAATTCGGTTTCACTGGATTTTTTTTTTCAAAGTAGATTCCATAAACTTTGACAAATCACCACATCCAATTTGTTTGGCTCCTCTGTATGGTAAAAAAATGAACGATTTGAAAGAGAGAAAAAAATTGGGTGGTTTTCTTTTTAAAGTTTTTAAGACTTTCTGTTTTGTTTTAAACAAGTTGAAAGTTTTAGATTTCGAATTTTTTAACAGGTTGCATAAAGAATGTGCTAAAGAACAATCACATGTAATACATGCAATAACGAAATCAAGAGATTTATAAAAAGTGAAAACAAATACGGATAAATAAGGGCAAAAGCGTCATTAACAGTTACAACTCTGATTTGGCGGAGATATATAAACTCCTCTCTCTCCTTTCATCTTCTCTAAACAGTCACATTCTAACACAACAT